CTTTTCATTAATGATTTTTACTGTATTTCTTTTTAATTCTAAAGGTAAAAATATTATAAGACTATTAGCATAATTTATTCATTCCTTTTATGTATATCAAAAAATTTCTAAAATTACAAATAATAGCATGTAGGAGAAATGAGAGAGAGAGAGAGAGAGAAAAGGAGAGAGGGAGGAATGGAGAGAGAGAGAGAGAGAGAAACCGGTATAGCATAAATGTTGCAACCATTTTATTCGTTTATTAACAAATATTTATAATTTATTAACTATGCATCACTTGTTTGGATTATTTTTACTTTTATTTACTTATTTTCGTGCTATTTATATTAACAATGTTTATCCATGATGATTCATTTGATCATATATTAATGGAATAAAAACATTTTAATAATTTAAAAAGAATGATGACTCATTTAATCATATATATGTTCACAATAATTGTCATTTAATAATTAGTCATAGGTTCATAATAGCCCTAGCTATTAGACGATGGTCGATCTTTTGTTTCAATATGTAATTGATTCATTTTTTAATAGTTAAAGTTATAATCAATAATTTTAATTATTTATTTTAGAAAAATTTTTGCTTACTTTTTTAATATCTAATTTTTTTAAATTATTATAATTGTTGTGTTTTTTTAATTTCATTAATAGTATTTCATTGTTATTATATTTATTTATTATTACATTGTTTCAGTATCGATATAATTATTATGTAAATTATATCAAAATGATTATTTACCGTCAAATGATAATAGGAATAGATAGTAAGAGAAAATGATAATAGAAAATGATAAATGATAATGGATAATGATAGGAAAAAAAGTAATAATGGCGTCACATTCTTAATAACCTTTCGTTGGTAAATTAATGTATGATACAGTCAGCATTTTTCCACTCAATTTTGCTTTAATATTTAATCGCAGAAAAATTTTATAAATTATAAAAAAAGTTTTGTTCAGAAGATTTTGACATTTTCAACCGGAATATATGAAAAAGTTCGGAATATATGTGAGAAAACTCTTAATGACCCTTAAGGTATTAGTGAAGAATGCAATTTGTTCTAATGCATTTCTTTTTATGAAATACTTTCTAACTTATTTTATTTTATGTTTTTAGAATGGAATTGTTGAGAAGGGAAAAAGGCTTAAAAAGGACAGGTTTAATGTGAGGTAAAAATGGGAAATAAAGTTGCATTCAATGAAATATTTCCAAAAAGACATTCCAAATTTGCATCTTCCTAAAAATTCTTTAATAGTATTTTCAAAGTCTTAAAATAAAAGATAAATTTCAGGTTAGAAAAAAGAAAGAAGCGATATGTTTTTAGGTTTTTCAAAGTACTTAGTTACTATATTACAGTATCTTTTATAGTTATTATTGCAACTTCAATTTCTATCATAAATATTCTTTTAGTTTATTTCTAAAGATAACTAATTGGTCATATGCAGTTTTTTTAGACTAAATAAATATATAAGAAATTAACAGATTAAATGATAATGATTATTATTCATAGATATTTTTCAATAAATCAATTATGAAAGCGAGGATATTAAATATTCAATTTCAGCTGCTCATTTAAAGTTTTTCTATACCACATCATAATTACTAATGAATTATGTCTAACATTGTTATCTAAATAATGATAATATCATAATCTACTGAATATATGAAAGCAAATCAGATATTTATTTGATCCGCCGAATTACTTTTAATATTCATCGATATCGGCAATCATTGCAACATTTGCTATATCAGTAATTACTGCAAGTGATAATGATATCATCAATCATTCATTTGTGATATGAACAAGTACAATCACTATCACATTTGTGTATGCCAGCAATCACTATCAGTTCTTTCGATATGATATTGAAAAGTAAATTTAATCACTTCCATCTTAGAATAGCATAAAAGAATCATCAAACGAATCATAGTATTAATTCTCCTGTTACTACTATCGTTATTAAACTTACTAACTTTTGCTACTAATATCTTTTAGTACTTATTTTAATTTATAGCAAAATATTTACTAAAAAAATTTGATAAGTTAAATAAATAATACTCTTTTAATTTTATTATAGTATACTTATTTGTGGAAGCTTTAACTGATTCAATTCTAATTCAATAATATATTCAAACATTCTTTTATAATTCGTATTTTACTAATAAAGACAGTTAAATCAAATTAATTGGATAGTAAAAAATTTGTTGGTAAGAATTACAATGAAAGTTATTGTTTAATTACAACAATTTCAAATTATCAAATTGTAATAATGACTATATTTCTTGAAATGGAAATACTTCAAAAACAGTCTTTACAGTTTAAATCGTTGAATTAATTTATTAACAAATTTCCGCTAAGTTAAATTATGTTATCGAGAAAACTTTTATATTAATTGTATAATTTTCAATTTTCATCATTGTTCTATTTCAAATCATAATTAAATTTCAAAATTATTTTTTAATTCAAATTTATGCATTAATCATCCAATTTTAATTAATTAATTATTTTTTCCACTTTTACTTAAATTACATAATTATCATTGTTGAAATTTGAAATTTCTTTTACAGTGATTCATTCTTTAACAAAAATTAAATTTGCCATCAAAATTTCTTCTTCCTATTTCGCTAAATGTTGAAATTATTGTTGTTACTGTCACGTTATTCACTAAAAACACACACACACACACACACACACACACACACACACATACACACACATACATGCACACACACATATACACACACACATATATATATATATATATGTATAAATATTTGAATTTCGAATTCACTCTTCAAAAGAACAAAAACATTCGTTTTTCTGGTTTATGCCAATGATCGCATCATTTAATGTTTATCTTTTACGTTGTCCATCCAACAATAAACCATTAAAACAAAAAACTTTTTGCTTTTTGTTTTTATCATTTGTTTATCGTTTATTCCCTTTTTTCATCAATGTTTTTATAAATTCTTATTAAAATTTTCAATTCCTATTTAATTATTAAATTTTTTATTTTCATAACATTTCTCCTTAATTAGCTAATTAATTGAAAACTTAGGATTTTTTGATTTTTATGATCAATAACAGATGTAATTTTAATTTTTCTATTATCTATTATATGTATTTAGTGATAATTTTTTCCTAATTTTAGTTAAATCCATTTCCTAAAAGAGTTAAATATTTGTTTTATCTATAATATAATTTTCTTATAAAAGTTAAATTAAAGAAATGTTTGATAAATTTTTATTTCGAAAATTGCCTTAAATTCGTGATTGATAATATTTGGAAATGATAAAAAAAAATGATAAGAAAAGATTTTGCTGCAACTTCCAATTATTTTTAAAACTAAAAAAACTTCTAATGATAATATTTTATCACTATGAAATTTCTTTATCAGCAAAAGGCACATACATTCACTTTAATACCATACAACTTCTCTTCACTTTCTTTGTTTTGTTTGAATTAATTCAATTTAAAATTTGTTGAAAATCGATTTCTTCATTCATTGAAATTATTCAAAAGAGGGAAATACCTTTGTTAACTCATTAATTCATTATGAAATGAATTTCAAATTCCTTTAATTCTTCTTTTTCAATTTCTATTTTCATATTTCTATATTTAATAGAAAGGTAAAAACATATCATTTTTTATCAAATATTAATTTTTCTATATAATTGAAAAAATTTATTTTCATCAATCATTCATCGAATTTATTTTATTTAATTCTTAATATTTGCATAATAAGCAATAATGAATTTATTATAATCAAAAATCATTCCAAATTATTTCTTTTCATTTTAATTTCCATAAAAATGTTCAATAGTTTAATAAAAACTGAAATTTTATAATTGAAACAAAAGTTTATTAATTAAAATATCAAAATTATAAAAATAATTGTTTATCTTCAATACTGAATTTAAAAATTATTTTAAAACGCAAAAAATAAAAATCATTCATTATTGATGAAATTTATGATAATGTAATTATTATTTGTTTCATTGTTTTACGAAATTAATGTACGATGAAAAATATTTCATAAATGATGAAAATAAATGAATGATTGTGGTAGAGAAATGATCACAGTAAGTTTTTCTTCATTAGTGAAGGAGTTATTGCTACATTGATGAATTATTATAACACTCAGTCAAAATATCATTCTACTACCTACTTGAAAAATCGTTCTTATTTCTTCTTTTTCTTTATATTTCACTAATTTTATGAATTATAAATTAGTATACTGTAAAAGTTTAAGACAAAAATGGCATAGGTTTTTTTGCAGTGTAATAATTCAAAAGATTTAATATGCAAAGGAACTTATCAACCAAATAATTCCATCTCTCTTCTAAAATATTAAATACGACGGAATCATTCATTTCCATCTATTGTTTTCATAAGATATTCTAACTTAATTCTTATTAATCGATTAAGATACAAATATACATAAATTTTCCGTTTCATTATTTAATAAAGCAGTGGAATATATAAGTTCCTGAAAATTATCACAACACTAAATTAATTTATGCTTTACGGTTACAGACATTTTTACATTCAATTATGTAATATTTGTATCTTAATCGATTAGTAAGAATTAAATTAGAATATCTGGTAAAAATAATAGATGGAAATGAATGAATGATACCGTCGTATTTAATATTTTGGAAGAAAGATGGAAAAGTTTTACAATCAAAGTATCATTTCTTTTAACTTCAATTATCTTTCATTAACAGTTTTACAATAATTCTTTAAGAGAATACTTGATATTCTTACTGTATCAAGTGATCCTTTACTTAATAAAAAATATATCACTGTGTGAAATTGTTAAAAAATTTTTTTATTAATTTAAAATTTAATAAGAATACGAACAAAATGATTTTGGTATAATAATGATTTTGGTATATTTATTAAAACATTTCAAATTAATTATTTAAATGTAATTAGAATATTTCATTTCAGATGTACCTGAGGTGCTAAAAAGAGCAATAAAATAATCTTTATCGATGGTAGTGCCATTTGTCATACTTTTGTCAACCACTGGAATGAACAACGGTATTGTAAAGTTCAAAAAGAAAAGGCTTATCAAACATTTTGTTACCATAGCAGTTGCTATTAGCATACTATTTGCATTAATCGTTGTTACTGGTATTATATTATTACTTGAATTACCGCCAAACAATCAAAAATTTGCTTTCAAGAAAATTGATGTATCGGAAGATAATGGTTTGTTGATAATATCATTTAATTTATTTATGTTAATTACGTCTTACAAAATAATCTCTTTCAATTTATAGGATCACACTGCCAATAGATTGAAGTGGCAGATGTGCCTAATAAGAAATGTTATAATACTTTGAATTATTACAGTGTGATTAAAAATGTATTAATTAATTTAAAAAACAAGAAAGAAACGAAATTGTTTTTTTAAAAATCTTTTTATGAAAATTGGTTTATTCAGTTTTTCTTTTTTACTATTTCTATTCATAATCATTTAAAAGTTTTATTCATAAGAAATTAAAATTTAGTATCTTTTTCAGAGTATTGGAAACATCAAGTCCATGCTGTTTTTGCAGTAAATTTAGTGGGTCCAAAGGATATGCGACTGAAGCGATCCATCGAAAATATTAAAGTAACTCAATTTATATTAATTTAAAGGTTTTAAATACAATTATTATGATAGACAAATATAGTAATTTCTTTCCAGGGGTTATTCAGGTTATGATATTAATTTCTCGTCATGTTCAGCTTTGGAATTAGAATTTCATACCGTTACAGACTTCTACATCAGCTGGTTATTGTAGGTTTACATATATACATATAATCAATTACCGTATCATGATGAGCTTATCACTGGACTTCAATTAACATCACTTTATAACTCATTACAAAATAGCTATCCTAAAATTAGCTTTTCCCATTGTATTTCTTTCTGCCTCATTTCCGACCATTTTTTTAAATGAAAAGTAAAATTAAATGGCCTAAGTTCATATTACAAAAATGTAAACTTCAAAATAGGAAATTTTACTTAATATTGACCTTGAGAAAAATTTTTCAAGCGTTAGTTAATTGAGAACTACTCAGAAATTCTATTACTGAAATGAAACATATTCAACAGTTTTTATTAAAAGCAACTATTCAGATAAGATCGGGAAATTTTTTTGCTTACTAATTAGAAAGGACTGATTGATATCAATCAAATGTGTTACACTTATAAACCGGATATCATTATTGCATTCTTTTTGCAACTTTTTCGATATTTTACAACCGGAAAAGTCGAAATAATAGAGGAAAAATTTTTCCGTTAAGTAAGGAAAAATCAAAAGATGATGGAATTTTTTTGATAAAATAATTATTTTCTTTCAAAATTCTATAAAATGAAAACTTTTCAAAAGAGTTTTTTTTAATTTGCAAAATATTTTTTAGTATCTTTTAAAAAAACGACAAAAATTTTCTTTGATTAATATGTAAAAGAAATTTTTGAAGGATACAAAATGAAAAATGAAATGAAATTTGTTATTGGGAATAAATTATAATTATTTAATATCGAAGAAAGTTTTATTCTTTTTCCACCTGCTATTAAATCAATCATTTCATTATATTTTGATAGTTGCAAAGAAAAGAAACTAATGATTTGAAATTTTTGGAAAAATTTTCAACATGAAGAAATTTTATTTTATTTTCATTTTTGAAATTTAATTTAACCTATTTTAGTATATCATTTTAATCTAAAAGAATATTATTAACAAATAAATGATTGAAAATATTTATCTCTAAACTTTCTGTTTCGTTAAAAGAGTCAGTATTGTCTAACATTTAATTAGAAATGAAAGTGTTGAATTCTCTCTCTTCCATCTTCCATAAGCAATTTGAAATTTTATCGAGAATTTATAGCCTTTAAAATGAATTAAATTCATCAACGATTATCGATTGCCATTTTTGCTACATAAAAATTTAAATATTACTAATATTGGTCATTTTATTATTGTAAAATGGTTTCATTAAATGACAGCGAAAAATTATACCTTCATCAAAAAGCTAATTTTCATTTTCATTTCTATATATTCACTCAATTCTATATTTGAATTAGATTTATTATTTCGGTTAATTACAAATGTAATTTTATTTAGTGCAAATTATAATTTGAAAGCAAATATTCACTGACATCAAACATAATTCAAAAAAAATGTGTGACCTGTTATTTAACGATTCCGTCAAATAATTATCTTTTCATTTTACATAAATTTTTTAGCACAAAAATTAATTTGATAGCAGAGAGTTGGAAGCAAAAAACATTTTGATAGGAAAGCAAATTTCAATTGCATTTAAATTTCGCTACCAATAAATTGATGGCGTAAAATTGAAAGGAAGCGATTCAAAATTTGTTTCAATTTCTAATGTGAAATATTTCGGAAAGAAAACATGAATTCTGATTTTACTTAAATTTTGCAGCATAAAATTGACATAGAAGTGGAAGTACAATCTTTAAAAAAATTAATTTAGATTTTATTTAAATTTTATAAAATTGGAAGCAGAATATTTTGAAACAGAAATAATGATTCAAACTTCATTTAACTTTGTAACATATAAATTAAAATCATAGAAATAGAAGTGCAATATTTTAAAGATCGGATTTTATTCAAGTTTCATTCTGAACTTTTTAGATGAGATTTCAGTCGAGACTGTGATAAAGCATCAATTTAGGCCAAATTATAGTTGAGACTGTGATAAAGCAGCAATTTTAGATCAGATTATAGTTGAGAGTGTGATAAAGCTTCAATAATTATTATTTAGATGACAGCATAAAATATTGTAACTTTTACTACTTGTTTTAGCAGCAAAATACTCTAATTGATTACAGAAGGCGATAAAACAATACAAAATAACGGACATTTAAAGATTTAAGGGAAAAATCAATTGGATATTTGAAATTTTCAAATTTTAAATCTAAAACTTTCTTTTTTTTTCTAATACAATCATAATTAATTTCTTATTTTTTGGATGAAATGTTATTGTCATCATAATCAATGGATAATAAATCAGAATTTTGCTTCAATTCATTTTAATCAAACATATGTTATAATCATTAGGCTTGCTGAATTAATGATAAACAATCACTTCCATTGAAAATTAATTGCTAATTCCAGTTTTTATTTCTATCTTAACAATAACAAAAGGATAATTTATAGAAACTATTAACTGATCGATTAAATGGATCAATGGCGATCAATTTGAGATTGATTAATTGTACCATTTAATGATTAAGCGACTGACATCATGAAACTCTTAAAACCCTCTTATGTGATTGATGACGACAAAATAAATTGACATTGTTAAAATAATAATTAATGATTGCTTGCTAAAATAACTATCAGTTATTGCAGTTTCACGGCATGCAAGCTCTGATAAAATTATTTGCTAAAGTTGGGGTAATAAACTGATCTAATTATATTAAGTTGTATTACCATTTATTTCAAAACAATAAAATATAACGTTACTAAATAATTTGATTAATTATACATTCTTCGATGCTAATTTTATATTTCAGAAGTATACATTGCAAGTGATAAGTTCACTACTCGTCAATTACTATGATAGCGATGCTAAGTTTGCTATACAAACTTATTCTATTCCCGGGAAAACGATGATTAGTGATTTCTGTGATGCGACATGCACAATGCATTATATCGATCAGATTGATCAAGATCAAGAAACTTTCATATCCGATAATCCCAATCAAACAGAGTTCGCTTTTGCTTTTTCATTTAAAATTAAATCTTCAAAATGGTCTAGCCATAATATTTAACGCTGTATGTCTCTTCGAATTGACGATTAACATTTTATTTTTACATCTGTTTTATACATCGTTCGATGCTTGAAAGAAGTAGGAAATAATACTTCTTATCTGATTATCATTTTCTGTAATTAAATTATTGATTAAGTGATAAGTGAAAATTGGATGATAATTAATTTAAACTAATTTACATGATTTTTTTTTCATATTTTATATAAGAATTTCTCGAAAAATTTTACTTTTACTGAAAAAAACTTTCTCTTAAATTAAAACATAAATTTTAGCAAATCATTAAATTTGAACAATAAGAACAAGTTCACTTGGTTAATTATAGACAGTTTCTGAAGTACATCACATCAATCTAACGCCTGACAACAATAGATCTATCACTTTACAATCACTCATCATTAATCTTTTTTCCCTTTTTCACTTTCTCTCTCTCTCTCTCTCTCTCTTTTATTTTTCAGCAAAATTTTTAAAAATATCTTGTCCTAATTACCTATATTTTTATAACCTTTAATCTTCGTGTTCTCCTTTTTTCTCACTATTTCATTCAATTATCTTGAAATCTAGTTTCTTTTTCTAGAAACAACTTTTAATATTCATTTATTTTATAAATACAGGAAAAGACACAAAATGATGTAGATTAAGCTAATCAGAATCCATCAATTTCTATTTAGAATATTAAAATGTAAGTTAAGCTAATCAGAATCCATCATTTTTTTATTTAGAATATTAAGATGTAAGTTAAGCTAATCAGAATCCATCAGTTTTCTCTTTCGAATATTCAAAAATGATGAATTCTGTTTCTTATTTTCTTGCAAATAATTAACTTTTTATTCCTTATTTTCTTGTTGTTTTGGTAGAAATATTTAATTAAAGCAAAAGTATTTCTCGTTTGTAAAATTTCTTCTGCATAGAATATCTACAAGCTTTGAAAAGTACGAAGGAAAAAATTTTTTTCATCTTTTTTATATTTATTTCCTAAAATTAATTTTTTTTAAATTAAATTACAGTGCTGTTTGGCAATATTATCGCTTTAGTTTAAGAAAGAAGCCAAGTCTTTATATTTTATTTGTTGCCGATCGTGCTTCCTACAGGTATGATTAATTACTTTTACTTCAAAATGCTAAAATAAAATTTAATAATTAGCCAGATTAATCTTTTTCAAGATAGGATAATTATTGCAAAAAAAGAAAAGAAATTACAAGACGTGACAGTTAAATTTTTATCATTTTTTAATCTTTTTAATCTTTAATCTTTATCAATTTCTTTGATTCATTTATTTTTAGGGATGATACTATATTCGAAAAGGATATGATAGATTCAAATAAAATGTTAGAACAAACAAAACTTGCTAATAAGACTGAAACAATATTTATTAATGATACAAATTCCGCTCATTACTTCATGTACAGTAATATTATTAGCGATGGAAGAAATGTTTCTGAAACAGCTAATTTAATCAACAATAAACTCAGTTAGTTACAGTCATTTACATTTTCAATTAATCATTCGAAGCAAAACAAAACTTACTGTATTTCTTCTCATACAAATTAATTAATTTAAATTATGCAGTAAAACTTTTTCGTCCTTTTATTTCAATTTTTTGTACAAATATTTTCATTGCTGTTCGATGAAATCTAGTTGTTAACGTTACCGTTTCCATATCAAAATACCATTTCTATTATATTATTATAGCAAAAAAAATTAGTTTATTAAATTACTGTAGCAAAAAAGAATTAGTTTATTTTTATTTAGCGAAAAAATTAGTTTGTTTTAAAACATACTTTTTTTCAGTATCTTACTATAGAAATGACAATGAATTCATTTCATCTGATACAGACACATTCATTACAACAGCAACTGATTCATCCCAATTACTTATACCGTATACCACAAAAGAAACTGCTTTAACATCAATTAGCGATGACGAAAAAGTAAGTACTGGTTGTTTGATATTATTTAAAACTTAAAATTAGAATTCAAAGTGATGATATAAAAAAATTGTAACAGATGAACTTCTTATATGTCTCTCTCATTTATAGCAAAAATTGTTTCTTTTGCAGAAAAGCAATCACATTGTTATTCAAACGATATCATTAAAAGAATATGCTCCATCAACTACTACATTTTATCGTAATACAGGTGAAGTAAATATTAATTAGTCATTTTTCATTAGCACCATTAATTATTGTATATATTTTTATTTATTAAAGATAATATAAGATAACGTCAAGACGTTGCAAAACGTGGCTAGGTATATGCGTGAATGCATGCATGATAAATGAAAACGTTTAACTTTTAATGTTGTGTAAAACATACTTAGCTCTTTAACAAATATTACGTTACTCAATAAATATGTCAAACATTTCTTATTCTCGATATCGTATCCATCGCTGATATAATCATTCTTACTGAAAAAACTTCAGATATTTTGGGAACAGACGAACAAGTAACTACAGTTTCTCCCGCTTCATTCATCAAGAAATTAAACAACGTGTAAGTTAGTGAGCATTCTTAGATATCATTAAGTATTTTTATATCCTCTCTTAGTAAGCAATTTTGCTTAAAATTGCAATTTAACAATTTGGTCCTAAATTTGAAAATGATCATTGATCTTCTTTAGAAATGAAGATGAGCTATCAACCAATGATATCCCAAAATCAACATTTAATAGTACTGATTCATCTGAGTCACGTAACCAGAAAGAGGATTTCATCGTCGAAAAGATGGATATTTTCTCAACGAAATCATATAATGATAGTACTATTCTGGATGATTATCATTTCGCTAGTACTCAATCAACAACATTCAATCCAATATTTCTCGAAAATAGTGATAGTTTTGCTGAAGCTGATGATATGAGTGTTAAAAACGTGGTAGAATCAACGGATCTTTCGATACAATCTAATAATTCAACTTCAACAGATCAAATTACAAAATTTGTTAGTAGCATTGCTAATGAAAATGAAGGCGTCAGAAATTTTTTGATGGAAACGAATAACTTACATTCAATAAATTCGGATTCAATTACGAGTAACATAACAATAGTTCCAGCGGAAACTATTTTTCCAAAAATATCAACAATTGATAAAAAGATTGTTATTGAAGCCAAACAGAAATGGACAGAAGCGCTCCAAATACCAACGTCAGATATCAAAGATTCTGCACATTCCTTAGAAGATTTGATCCCTACTTCTAACTCGATAAACATCGATAACTTGACCAATTCACAGGAAAATTCACTTTTTTCGGATAGGAATGATGAATCAACAAAAACGACGGAAAAATCGGATCAATCAATTAATTGGACAAATGGTGAAGAAACTGCTCGATTAAAACAAAATGAAACGGAATTGAAAGGAAGCACGCTTACTCAACCAATACAAGATACAATTATCTCTAGAAATAACTATGATGCGAACATTTCGAATATTCCGGATATAAAAAAGAGTGGAAGTATCACAAGGCAGATGAATAATGGAGCGTCAATCTTGAAATTATCTCACAGTACTTCGGAAGATACATCGAATGTCAAAAATTCAACAATGATAAGCAATCCTGAAGCTTCAAAAGCTTTTGTTCAAGAAGATATACATTCTAGTATTAGCGATAAGAATGTGGAACACTTCACCTTGGGAAGAAACAATTCATTTTTTACCACCGAATTCTCAACAGCCTTGAAAAAAGTCTTACCCAAAATTGTAATGAATTTGCCAGGAACATTAACCGGTGCTTCCTCATCATCAAGTGATGAAGAACGATTGATCACAACAAGTGGAAAATTGCAATCATTTGCTGAAACATCAGGAATAATGAAAGCGACAAGCTCGTCACCAATTACAAATAATTTTTTTGAAGATTCTGAATTATCAACAATTGCAACAACAGAGTCACAAGATAATGAAATGGTTGTTAGTTTCATCACAGGAAGAAATCATGAATTAATCACTGATAAATCACTGCATACCCCTTTTATTGCTTCGATTGCTGAAACTATCAATGATGAAATCGTTACTGCAAATAGTTTCACAATTAAATCACAAATATTTCCTAGCAAAGAAATTTTTGATGCCAGTCAAACAACCGAAACTTCCATATTATCAAGTTTAAGAACGAAAAATTTCATTGAATCTTCAACTATTACACAGAATACCATAAAAGGGATTCAAAATGCAATTGAGGACGACGAAATTGAACTTCCAGCCATAACAGAAAAGAAACAACCAGTGTCTGTTTTTAATATATCACTACCAGCTTTACTATATGATGCTCAATTTATATCGTATATTAATCGAACAAGCAGTAATTACAATTTCTTATTTTTGGATGAAGTCAGTTATACAGAAGAAAAGGAATCAGAAGTACTTGATTCATCAAAAATTGCTTTTATCATGGATGACGAATCTACTTCACTAGATAATTTAGGAAATGATGCAAATGAAACATACGTTGATTTTTATTTAGATGATTCTATATCATCAGTAGATGATACGATAGCAGAAGAAAGGTTTAGATTAGCAAACTTAGCAGTGAGAAATAAACAAGAAATACGATTTCAACCAGAAACGACAACTATTATATCAGTTCTTGGTGGGACGACACGAGCAAATACTGTCTCGAATTGGATAAAAAATGCTAAAGAACATCACCATAGTTTATTTTCAGCGGATAGCGATTCGTCATTACATTATCTGACAAAAAATACAGTAGCAATTAGCACGTTGGAGAATACACAATTACCTGCGATATCACAGGATTTTGAAGGATTGAGGAAAGAATTTGATGACATAACTTCAAGTCATCAGGAAATTAATGCAACTGAAAGCATAACAGTATCAAAAATAGAAAATCCAATAAAATCTGATTTTACTGTCCGAACAACAGATGAAAATTTCAATGCTCCAATTGCTGTACGTATGGTCATTTCGAGAGCGCTAAATAGTATTGAGAATCCGAGCAACACTTTATCCTCTAGCATACCATCTCCTGAAATTGAAGCAATTGCTGCAACAAATATTAATTACGAAAAGATTGCTGATCAAACAATAACAATATTGAAAGCAAAAAAGCCTGTCAGAAATAATTTATCTTCATCTATTATATCAACTACTCAGTGGACTTCTACTGTAAAGCCAACAGTAGCTTTATCTTCTGATCAAATTTTCCTACGTGAATTAAGTACAACAACAGCACATTCACATTCGCAATCTCAAATTGATGAAAGTACCGCTGACAGAAGTAAAAGTGAAGAATGGCTAAATATCACAGACAGGAATGATAATATTGCTGATACTTTTCAAACATCAACTACTGATATAATATCGCAGTCTTCATCAATGATCAATGAAAATTCATTTTTGCAGAATAGGCACAACATGAACAAAAATGCTATTACTTCAGTTAGTACCGCTATCTTGAATGATACACAGAATGATACTTCTTTAACGATCATGTGACATTCAATATTATATCTCCATCAGTTACATCCTCCCAGAATAACCTGACTGGAAATTCTCTTACAGTTGGAAAAAGTTCCGGACCTTCTGTTGAAAATTCCACAAATGATAACTTTTTATCTAACAAGAGTGTCATCAATGATGAAGAAAGAAATATCAGAACACGATGACTAGTTTTTTCAAAATAAATTAGTTAAGTGATGATCGACTAATGAGTAAATTGGATAATATGTATTAAAAAAATACTTTCTCATTTAAAATTTGAGGTCATTTCCATTTTCTGATAGAATTTAAAGAATTTCTAGTCAGCGAGTTCTCTCCTCAGGTTAGTGAGTTTAAAATTTTGCTAATGCAAAATACAAATAATGCTTTCAATGAATATTGCTTGTTATTCGTAATGTAAATGTAGTAGATACGTTAGTATAATAAATTTTGTTATTTGAACTAATAGTTGCATTGCATACATTAAAAATATCTTTGGGAAAATTTTTTTTAATTTAAAAAATTTTAAAGTTTAATAATTAAGCATAGCGACTTGTGAACTTGATTAATACGCATTTGTATATATGATATTAATTATATCAGATAATTCTTAAGTTAACTTTTCATAATAATGCAGTCTTTAATAAATTGTGTTGTTAAAAAACTTACTGACGAAAAGTAAACTTACTTCTAAATTATTATCCTTGTAGGAATTTTATTTTGCTATATTTTATAAATTAATTCCTCACTATAATATTTATTTTAGTATAATATTTATTTTAAACTATTGTGTTTGCCGCATGAATTGTTTTAATTCTTTTTAAAATGAATTTCATTTGTGTTTACATAACATTGTCAGTTTCTTGTATAATGTTTACATAATCGAATGATATGATATTGTATTTTTTATCAAAAAAGAAATCGGTAGCTCATTTTTTCAAAAAAATCACGAAATTAAAATCTGAGATCAAAACAATAATTATCGGGTTGGAATAACTCATCGCAAAAAAAATACCTGCCGTAAGTAATTGTAATATTAATTAATTTTGTTTGCGTCAAATATCGCATTTCTTGGTTTTCTATTTACATATCAATTAAAGTTTGCGGCCGATTTTGCGATCATTTATGTTGTTTATACTATTAAATTTAAATAGAAACGTTGACGTTTATAATTTTTTATAGTAATAATTTATAATAGTGTCATTTAAGATCGTATAACCAATCACGTCAACTTCGTGACCTCCACTACGTGTTGTAATCAAATTTCATATTGTTGTACATTTCCGTTTGTATAGTGATCGCATATAATTTTATATTGTTGTACACTTTTATTTTTGAATACTTGAAAATAATTGATTAACAGTGATGTATGATGTTTTAAATTATCATTATGAAAATTTTGCTTTCGTTACTTCTGATTCTTCCATGTTTAGTATTAAAATGTAATTTTTTATCACCTATTTTTTAACTCATTTTGATCAAATTTTATACGATAGCTACTCTTAAATATCATTGCCATCCAAACGCCATATCAATAGCACTATTAACAATTATAATTAATCTTATTAAAATGCCTTATGAAACGTTAAATTTTATTCGTCTTGAATGATAAGTTAATATCAAAATCCATTTATACATTTGTAATCTTATATTTAATAGACTATCTCAAATTAGAACACGGAAATAGATAATCAGAAAATGAATGAGAATTTTAATTTTATAAACTGTCAAGCTAAGGTATTCAAAATTAACAATACGATTAGAAGTTAGTACAATGAGAAATTTTGTTTAATTCAATTCAATTCAATTCTCACTTATAATAAATAGCATAATTGTATCAAATTGCATTAATATCAATGAGTAATTCCAATTTCCGATCCAAATTTCGCTATTTACACAATTCCTGACGATGTAGATCATGAAGGCCCGAATGATCGATGCAGAAAATCAATTCCTCCTGAAAGTTGTGTAAATGAAATTATACCAAACTCAAATAGATCAATAATGCTTCTTTGATTCCATGTTGATTTGATCGATTGAATTGCCCATCTCATATATTATTAAGTCGAATAGGAGAAATCGTCAAGAAAGGAAAAGTTTTGATGAAAACAATAAAAGTTTAGAATGTTGAAAGTGTTCCAACTAATATTTAAAAAATAAGAAAATAACAATTATTTGCTAATTTCTATGCTTAATTAAATTTAAATGAATCATTCAAATTTATTTATTTTTTACCAAAATTTATTTTTTCACTAAAATTTTAAATTTTATTAAAATATAAATACAAATTGTAATAATTTGTAAATGTAAATTGTATATTTTCATTGAAATATAAAAATCAAATGTTATGATTTATAAATGTATGTTAATTGTATAATTATCTATTATTTCAATAAACGATATTAAAATGTGTCAGCAATTCAGGTTGAATTATTTATAAATGAAAAACGAAAGGATCACTCATAGCATTTTTCTTTAAAAAATGAAATGATACAAAGCAATGAAAATAATTTTAAATTTTGTAAAGTGAAGCAAACAGGATAATATTATGACGTCAATAATTAGATGAATGAATAATTGGATGAATGGATAGATAACTGAATGAATGAATAAATCGTGTTCATCTATTAATTAGTGTTTGAAAATTGAATATGTCGAAATGGAATTTTCAACATGTCTGTTTGAGACAATTATACACCTTTCATTTCCATGAATGTTTTAAAAGAAATAAATTTAAGAAGAAGAAGGAGAGGTTAAATGAATATATTCAATGGACACATCTTGAAGTTATTTTCCTATCCTTACTTTTATATTTCACTCAACGAAATCAAGGAGACATTCAAAGAAACTTGGACGAAATACGGATATTTTATTTATCATCGATGTCATTCCGTTGTCGTTTTTCAAGGATTTTATCGCCAATCGTTTCGAAATCTATAATTCTTTCCCAAATTATCATCCATTACATACACAGACAAACACACACACACACACATACATACACACACACACACACATACACTCATACAAGTTTTCCTGAACCTGTGGCAAGAATAGTTTTGTGGTGGATGGATATTTCACTACTATGCAATTCATTTCTCTTTCATTTATTTATCCACCACTATGAAGAAAACTTTTTTTCTTCTCTAAATTTTTTTGATAATTCTAATCGCATCGATCGATTGCTTCTTATAATTTTCTTAATTTCAAATTTGATCAAATAAAAGAAATAGTAAACAAATTTTTAATTTAAATTAGATAAAACAAATATCATTAGGAGTTTTATTTGGGAGAATTGAACGATTTATTAATATCTTATGGTACTTACTGAAATATTTTGTCGTATTAGAAACAGCTAAATAATTCTTAATGAATTAGGATAAATTCAGTTATTCTTAGTGAACTGGTGTTAAATTATTGATTAATTTAAAAACAAAAATATTGCATTAATTTATAAAAAGCTATTGAATTATTTTATATTTAACATTGCAAAATTAATTAAATATCTATAAAAATTTTCATATTTCGTTAAATCATTAGAAGAAATCGGCATTGTTTTTAAGATTACTTATTATTAATTACATTATGAGAAATTTTTCATCGAATATTTTGCAATGATTGTATTAATTTCTTCTGAATTCAACAAAAAGAAAGCTTTTTGTTGGGACAAATTAAGTTAAAGAATAAATTGGAATAATTTTAAATTCAATAAATTCAAATTATATGAAAATTCAAAGGATATTTGTTCCTTTCATCTTATTTTACATGGAATTTCTGTCAACAAAACAAATACATATTATGTTTTTATCTTTTAAAATGACTTCTTTACTCTCTTTTGTGGAAAATAAAAAACAGTTTTAATTTTTCAGAATGCTTCAAAGGTGCCGGTTTTGACACAAATACAAATCCGTTAATACAATCCGGTTCAGTTTTATAAAATTAGAAAATTATAGCAATTGTATTTGTATCATCCATCTGTCACTATTATTTGCAGAGTAAAAAAAAATCTCTGACAGTTTTCCTCAATTGCTCTATAAAATCTTTTTCTTTTTCATATGCTATTTTTATCCTCAAAAAATAAAATATTTCTAAAAATAAAAATAGTTTTCATAGTTGAATGTGACATTAAATGATAAGTATGATAATCTAAATATGGCATTAAATCATAAATCAATCCATTTATGGCTTAAAATAATCGAATCAAATGAAATTGCAACGTTATCATTGCTATTATCATTTAGTGGTAAATAAAAAATTTTATTGCAACATGCAAAAGTTTTGTTGTTATAGAGATATGCATAGAAAGCTGTGTATATTACAATAACATTAATTTAATTAATTTAGTTAATATTAATGTAATATAACATTAATATTACTATAAATTAGTTCCATCTACAAAAGCTATATTTCAATAAATTTCCGGAAATGAATTGAACGAATTTAAACAGGTATATTTAATCATTTAAAGATATATTCATCATGCAATCCTTTATTTGCAAAAATTGACGGACTTGAGCAAACAATTAATGCACATTTTTCCCAATTCTGCAAATTCTCTTTCTTTTTTCCAAATTCTGTAAATTCTTTTTCATTTGAGCTCAACAAATGAAAATTAATTTAAAAAATGACCATTGGTATATGTTAAGGATTACAAGTTCCTTCGATAGTTTTTCAGAATTCGATCAATCAATCAACCAAGGTTTTCTTAATTTCAATTTTCTTTCAAAGTTCATATTTCTAAAAATACTGCAGCAATATAATTTGAACTAATTTTCAGCATTTTATCTTTTGCGTTCTTTGGACAGCAATATGAATGTGAATAATTAATTATTTTCTTTTGGTTTATTTATTTTCCTGTCATTTTTAATATTTAAAAACAAGAGATAACATCAAATAGGACGTTTCAATAAAATGAACGTATAAAATTAGAAACATTTATAAATTGAATTATTTGAATACAGGATGAAAAAGCAATTCTATCTATTATTCATTTCTGTCTTATTACATCAAACATTTGCATCATTTTGTGGTTCAACCGGTGTACCATTTAGTTTCGAAGTTCTTCCATCAGGTTTGATTGAAAAATTTATTTTCGAAAATTGATAAATTTCTGAATTATAGGACAAAAAATATCAGAAGATGAAAATTTAACAGTAGTCATTTCCATATTTAGTGATAACTGGTAGAAAATTTTACAATTCTTTAGGTGCACCGGTACTTGGTTGCGCCCAACCAACATGTATTGCAAGTTTAAAAGGCAAAAAAGATAATAGCAAATTTTTGGTAAATGCAAACGGACAAGCCGATGGATTTATGCGCGAGGATGATAAGGATAATAAAGTATACAATGATCCTTATGGCAATAAACTTATTGCTGTATGTTTTGCGATATAAAAAATAATATTAATATTCAGAATTTTATAAAATTTCAAAGAAGATGATTTGATCTCTAATTAATTTAAGTTTATCAAAATTTAAGAGTTGAACTTTCTGCAATTTTATACAATTAACGCGGTTATACATTTTTAATTAAAACCATTTTAAAATCTCATCGTTAATTAGCTAAGCTGCAGTTATTTAAAAGATCCAAAAATATTTCCTTCTACCGTATTTTACATACAATGAATTGTTCCGAATTTGAATGAAATATAATATGTTCTTCTATTTCAGTTATTATTGCATTATAACAAAAAATTATTTTAAAATTTCTTCGAAAGCTCTGATGAAACTGCCAGTATATCTTGAAAATTTTGCTATAAAAGAATTATTTAAATATGCAAAAAAAAAGATTGAAAAATATATTTTTAGAATTTTTAGAACTTTTTTTCTCAAATTTAAATTATAGTTTAAAAAATGCATTGCAGAATTGTTCCGGTCAATTTTCTGATCTATCATGCTTACGAAAAGATCAATGGGTTGGAGGCATTGAATACATTGACCATCCACGACAACCGTAAGAATTTCACTTGAAAGAAAAAGAGAAATTTCTTTAATTTCACATCAAATTAATTAAAAGAGCCATTTCTTGATAATTAAATATACGAATTGTATAATTAGGTTGATTCACTGATAGAGATAATGAATTGAATTAATGATTAATATAATGTTTGAAATTTCGTTTCGTGATCCTTTGTTCATTGTATAGAAATTAGTGTCACCTAAATTTTCATCTTTCAGACTAATCCTGCAATGTTGCACGTTTCCCGGATTACGATTTTCACAAGATGTTGGCCTAACAAATGTTGGCCCTGGTGAAGCGATCACCGGTGGTGAAGTAATTAGAGATGGACGGCAAATAAGCTTCGATGTGATAGCCAATGTCCGGAAAGTGGTAGATGCCGACACACATATGTTAGTTACCATTTCTAATATCCGTGATAAACAAGAATACGAAAAGGAAAGAAAGCTAATGCAAATAGCATATACGTTTGAACTTTACGTGGCACTTACATCTTGAATGATACGTTAAATGTGCCATTTAAATGACATAGTATTAAAGATTTTAAAGTCATTTTTGATGAAACGTTTCTTTTCTTTTCATTTATATTTTCATTTATGATAACCTTAGGAATTAAATTTTATATACATCATACGAATAAATTCACAATTTCTCACAAGTTTTATTTTTTTAACAGAAATGATAATTTATCAGTTCAATTGATTATTTGATTTTCCATGGAGAATTAGTTTTAAATAATAATAAATTGTATTAAAACATTAAATAAAATTTACACTAATTACATTTTATAATTTATTAAAAATAATAAATTTTTACAGTGTTTCATACGAAGTTAGTGTACGACGAATGCATTGCTTACCAGATCCACCGGAACCAGTTGTCAATTATTGTTAGTTGAATTTTTGTCAATTTTACAGCGGCGAAATTTCCTCTATATCTCATTACATTCTCGACATAAATAAATCTTTTGTCAATATGAAAAATCAAAATCTTAGAATCGTTATACACACGCACACACACACACACACATACACACACACACACATACACACACACACACATGCACATACATACATAATGTATACATTCCATTCTTTCACAATGAATATAAATATCATTCTTGTAAAAGACAAGAAAGAATAAGAACATTTTATCGGAAAAATTTCAACTTGACATATAAAATATTTTTAAATAAGAAATATATAACAGAAGAAATTTTCTCTCTCATTTAAATCTAAAAATGATTGTTAATTATAAAATTTTGGCGATAATGGGATCCAATTTAAGATAATATAAAATGAATTTCGTTGTTTCTTTGCAATATTTATTCATTTCTTTTCATATATTTTAGCTAAGTAAGCATTGTTGAAATTTGAAATTCTTCTCTGAAATTTTTATTCTCTACTGAACTTTTACGACTAATCAAACTTTTAACTGTCCACAGATAAATTAATCTTTTTTTTAGAAATGATAAAACAAAAAAGGAATGAGACAAAAAGTAATTAAATGATGAAATTATAAGAAATGTTATGTTTCTTCTTTCCTAATTAAAATTTCCTTTTTTTTTTCTCTTTTATTAATCAATTTGATATTGTAGTCGAAAAAGAAGTCAGTGATGAAATAACGAAAGTATTGACAACAGGAACCGATCTTCCAAACTTTCGAGAGGAAAAAACATTAAAAAAGGAGAAACCGGAAGAATTACAAGGCAGAAAAGCATTCACAGATATTACTGCTTATAAAACTGACGAGAAAAAACAATACAAGTAAATGAGCCTTTTTTTACCTTAAATTTCAGTTTCAATTGAATTTAAATTTGTTTATCAATCAAAATTTTCGATAATCTTTCTATCATAATTTCTGTATTCAATACAATTGGAAAAGTAATGGAAGTTAGGCGAAATTGACTTAATTAATCAGTTATATTGTAAAGAAATTAATTAAAGGGCAATAACTGAAATTGGTAGTGGAAGTGAGAAAAAAGAAATTCATTGTTCATCATTCAGGAAAATCGAATTCGAAGAGAAGGAAAGTGTCGAAAGATATGTGCCGAATAAAGGTGAAGTAATGCAGAAGAGAGGAGAAGATGTTACAGCAGAAATAACACTGAAACCAAGCACTACTCAATCATTGGCTGTTCCACTAAGTAGCCGTAAATCGAGAATTGGTTTAGATAATATTAGAAACGGTTTCTCGGGTGAGAATGGCATGGGTTTTGCTGATGCTAATAGCCCAGTAATTCGGAACGAACCGAAAGCATTTGCTCAACAACAATTAAGTGTATTCGGCGAAAAACCACCTCAGCTACCATTTCGAGAACCCGAATTTGGCTTTGAACCCCTCCAAAAGCAAACATCTAGCCAAAGTTCTCAACCGAAACAAAGTCATAATCCTCAACCGTGCGCAGCACAATGTCAGCAAACATCGTGCTACCCACAGAGATGTAACCAAGGTTTAGATACAGTTTTCGGGATTCCAACACTTGCTCCTCCACTCTTCTCTCTAACTTTTCCAACCTTACCCGCACTTGGCTTTCCAACTGTAGCACCACAAACATTTCAACCATTTATAGCTCAAACTTATCCCACCATAGCTCCACCAGCTTTTCAACCACCGCTTCATTCTGCTCCCGGTTATTTTGATCCGTTTAATTTCGGTCATACTGCTTCATTCAACTCACCACAATATTTTTCCCCTAATAATAAGAGAAATGTTAATGCGAATGGCAGATTGATGCAATTTTCAATCGCTCCAACAGCTTACAGTTCTACTACACCTGCTTCGAATGCAATCTCAATAGAACAGCCAGTGGTACATTCCAGTAAACCAGTTAATTTCCTCGGTTAATATTATATATTTTCCTTCTTTGTATATCTTTCATTTCTGAATAGAAAACTGTTCATATCTCATTACTTGCTACTTCCAGAATTTAATCAAATTCCTGTCTTTCCTGACCAGGACTAAAAAGCAAGCAAAAAAAAAGAAGTAATCTAAAAGTAAGCAAGAAAAAGATTTTAATGCATTTGCATTTAATTAAATTATTGCAGGTAATCAACCTGTTAGTAGCCAAGTCACATTAAAGCCATTGTCAACATTTGAAGAATTCATGGCAAGACTTGGCTATCGTAATTTAAGCCTCGCTACATTAGCACCACCCGGACCACTAGTATTTCCTGATTTCACGGTAGCAACTCCGTTCCCTGTTCTTTCACCTTTATTGTACGCTACAACTATTGCTCCCGAAAGTCAAGCTCAAATGTTCATTCCAAGATCTGGCGCTCGACCATCTCAACCAGGTCAGTACCGCCGTTAACTTTTGTATTGATCATCCAATTTTGCATCCTTCTACAGTTATCAAATGTACTGTATTACATTCTAGTTTTGCACAATTAGCAAGCAACTATTGTATCCTAACCGTACTATATTCTAATATTGGTGCGAAAATTGTGATAATGTTACATAGTAGAAAACTATTATATGCTATAATACAGTATGTTGTGTCATTTCATATTATACTATGTGAGATGCTAAATAATATAATTTCAGTATTGTATGTACCACAGCAATGGTCAGCAACAGATTTAGATGATACAACACTACAACGAACTGGTTTACGACAGCTCTGATTATCGTTTATTTCGGTTCGAAAATATTCCGCAAAATGATCGATAATTTCAACCGAGCTATAGAATTTGCCATATTAATGATATTTAATTGTTGTGTGTATGTAAGGTAACTATTTGATTATATGTGTTTCATCATTTGTTTTTTTTCTTTTTTGGATGGATTAACAAGTAATTTATATTCGGAAAAGAATATATTGAAGAATTCTACCGATCCGGTATGCTTTGAAGATAGAAATAAAAACATTGAAGGATGTAATTATATCTAATCTATTCTCAATATTAAATTGATAATATCTACTGAGAAATTATAATTTCAAATTGCGGTATAATAATCAAATGATTCGAAATTATTAATATTAAATTAAACGAAAGCAAAACTAAATATGAAAAGTATTTGGCGGTTAACATTTGTGTAAATATACACTTTGATGGCAAACCAATGTTTTTATTTCTATTCAGATTTCAGTAGAAATATCTATACTGATATTATCAGGATAACAAGTAGAACGCTGCTGATGATAGAATATTTTCGATTTTTATCAAAATACCATCTGCGATTTTCATTATTTCGATAAACACAACCCTTTTTCTTCTCTCATTGCTGTTTCATTATTTTAAATAAGATTATCAATTAAATACTTAAAAGGTAGTTCCGTTTAAAAAAAATTAGGAACAAATGTTTTTGCGTTATTAAAAACAATGACATTATTAAAATAATCACTAAATTCTTATTATCTTATTTATTACTTCAGTATTTTCCTGTGAAAAAAATTATATTTCATTTTTCATTTCTTTTGTTTCTAAATTAAATATATTTCATTAAAAAATAGAAAAGCTTAACTGCAAATTCAATTCAGAATTAATATCTTCATGTGATAACGATTAAATTCTTTCCTTATCTATTGCTAAGTGATAAACCAATGAACGTATAGAATTTACGTTGACTGAAAAGAAAGTTTAATATTTTCAGTTTTATTTATGTGTGTGATAAAGTTTTTTTCTCTATTTCTCATATTTCAAATTTATTTTGTTGAAATCACTTCTTGCCAACTATTATTATATGCAATTAGCTTAAAAACCAATAAAAAAAACACATTTGCATAACTTTTGAAAAGTTTTCCTCCTTTGCATAACTTTTAAGTTATCATTTATAAAACAGGAAAAATTATTAATCAACATTAATCATCCGATTTATCGCATTATCCATCGGTTGTTTACCAACAGCAATCAATTACAAGTGCCACAACTTTTTGTTTATTTAGGTGTGTGTAAAGCATGTTACGGATCATTTGACATTTTCATTCGTTTTAATAAAACCTATTTGAATTGAAATAAGATTCAAAATAAAATTTTTGAAATTTTTATGTAAAAAATATAACGTTCTTAGAAGGTTTTAAAAAGTTTCAGAATAATATCAACAAAAATTCGGAAAATAATGTCAACCGATAAGTCAGCCATAAAATCATTAACAAAGCTAACAAAGGAAGAGGATCGCGTCTCTCTCGAAAAGCAAATATTAGCATCTCGGAAGAGAATAAAAATTGCTGCAAAAACTGAAGAAAGTGATTATTTTCAGTTTTTGATCATTATTTTAACATAAAAAAACTATCATATTCATAAGCTCAGTCCGATCAATTAACATAATATATCTGGTATGGAAATATTTCGGATACACTGATGCGATGAGATATTAATCAGCATTTACAATATCTTGAAATAATTAAGTTTGCAATTTTCCGTTTTACTAATTTAACTAACAATTATTTGAAATAATTCAACTATATTGATTTCGGCTTATTTCAACTTAAAGGTAATTTTCAAAAAAAGGAGTTATCTCAGTTTTTGCACGAATATCTTCTCTTATAAGTTATAAAATTCATTTTATTCAGAAAAAGGTAAATCGGAGAGATTTGAAAATATCACCAAAAGTGTACATGAAGAAACAGTTGTTGAACAATTTGTCGGCATCTATGATTATTCTGTAATTCCTTCCAATTTTTCATTTATGCATTTTTTTTAATAAAATTATTATTTAAACAAAACTGATAATTAATTTCGAATTGAATTCATGTCTAATCAATCATTTCTGAATTATTTCAAATCAAAAAGTTAAAATATATTTGAAATGTCTTTTTTGTAAGATTTCTGCATGAGAAAATTAAAAAAATGATAAATTGAAATTATTGTTAGGTGCAACGAATACGACAGCAATTTACTCCAGCAACATATCGTTTCGCCAATCGTATTGATCATATATTTATCACCTTATCACTTCTTGTCACTGTTGCCAATATGTTACGATTCCCGATTATTTGCTCAGAAAGTGGTGGAAGTAATCATGTTTTTATCTTATTTTCCATTTTAATGTGTGATATGAAAATGAGTAAATATTTGTGTTTATTATGCATAAAATATTTACATATTTCAGTCTTATTTTTTATTCCATATATATTATGTCTTATCTTTATCACTATTCCAATTATTTATTTGGAAAATGCTATAGGTCAATATAGTTCACTTCCATCAATAGAACTTTTCCAACACCTTTGTCCTGCTTTCGAAGGTATTCAAATTAATTGAAAGCATTATTTAGTTACTGTAATATGGTTAAGATAAGTTTAAAATTTTCTGATTATTTTTAAAATGAAAGAACTTAGAAAAAAGCATAATACTTCAACTTATATAAATTAGGAAGAAATATGACGAATTGATGAAATTTGTTCATATAACGATTATGTGTAATTTGCTACAATTGAAAATGATAACATTCCTGATTTTCATATATCATATCCGCAAACTTTCTAAAATTTTGCTCGATTTCTTTTATCAAATATTGCTAAGCGCACATTTCATTTCGTATTTGACGTGAGATGATTGAAAGTTCACGTCCGTCTTCTACTACCTTTTAAATTTCAGGAATTGGTATTGCAATTTTATTAGTAGCTATTTGTAAAAGTCTTCTATTATCATATTCCGTAATGGGCATCTTTTATACGTTTAAAAGTATTACAGTTGCATTCAATTCCTTATCACAAACTACTTGGCTGGAATGTGTCTACGAAAGTCATTGTAACCTTTTTTCCCTTCTTTTGTTTACTAAAAAAATTTTCTTTTCGAAAAACAAGTTGAATATTTATTGATATTTCCTGTTCGTTGTTGTTGTTGTTGTTGTTTGTTACTGCCATGAGCGTTATTTTAAACTAAGGTATGCATCATTCAATAACAATGCTGTCATTTGAAATTTGGAACTAAAGATCCGCATAATTTTTTCCTATTTTCATTTTATAATCTTTTTATCATAGCCTTAACATATGAATTAATCAGTATCTTTTTAGATAAAATTATTTCCTTTTGAAATCCAAAAATCACATAAAAATTAAACATAAATAATGAATATAATTTTGAGGAAAGAATTTTTATTCCAAAATTAATATTGATAATTAATTATCTCAATTGGTATCATTTATTGATTTTTAGCATCTTGCTACGATTCATATGTGAAATGTAATGAAACAAACGGTAATTATCAGTATTACTCAAATTGCTATAATTTACAAATATTTCATAACCAAACGAAAGCAAATTTAAATTACACATGGGACCAAATTGTGATAGCTATGACATCAACTTCTGAAGCGCTTCGTGAATTTCCGCCAAACATTTATTGGTATGAGATAAAATTCATAAAAATTTTTCTCACATACAACAACTTCAAATAAATAATGGAAGATGTGAAATAAAATATTTTACAATCAATTGATATAATCTACCTTTCATTATTAGTTACCTTTTAATGATAGTTTAAATTTTGATATTTAGGATGGAGAAGATTAACAAACGTGGGAAAATAAGTGAATTTTTCTACGCCTCGGCTACCATCGAGCATGCTATCATCGCTGTAATTGCAATTTTTGGGATACATTTCTATGCTAAGGTTACTAAAATATTCTTTTTCAAATTAATTGAATTAGTGAGAAATAAACTCCAATTAAACTATTTAATTAAATTTCAATCATTTAGTTTATTTAATTTGTTAGCGACAGATTTAGTATTTTATTTTGGAAAAATGCAAAAAAAGTTGAAAACAAAAAAAGTATTTTAGTTGTGAAGAAATATTTTTAATCCAATCATTTATTCTTAATGTTAAAACAATTATAAACTTAGCCTAAGAAAATTAGTTCAGCCAAGAAAAAATATTTTAAATTTACATATTATTCATTTTAATTCATTCAACTTTCATAACGATTGATCTTGTTTAAGATTGCTCGATTTATTATGATATTTCCACAATTTTGTATGCTAATTTGTATTATTTATGCAATGACAAAAGCTGGTTTTAAAAATACGTTTGCTTCGATAGCAGAAGGTTTTTCACCAGACTTCTCGAAATTCTTCGATTTAAAAGTTTGGGTCATTGCAGCGCTTCAGGTTTCCCCATTTATTTTCAGAGAAATTAAAAATCATAAAGTAAACTGATATCCCTTATAAATAACAATAGTAATATTGATAGATGACATATTTGTTTTTATTTTGAGGCTATCATAGCAACAAACTTAGTAGACGGCACATATATAACATTAGCAGCAATGAAGGATTTCCGAAATAATTTCATGCGGTAAAATTTTTCTTTATCAATGATAATGAAGTTATTTTCATCTAAACAATCATAAGTATTAAATCACCAATAATTATTTTTATTCTCGAGACAAACTATCAAAATTATCTTATCATTTTTTTAAATTAAAAAGAATTTAAAAAATTATATTAAAAAAGAAGACTCATATACTCATATGCACATTGACATATATATAAATTGTAGTGATACATTTTTGGTTATTGTTTATATAATCATAATTAATTTATTTGGTTGCTTTTTTGTATTTTCTATTAGTGGTGCAGCAGTCGAATTAATGTTTCCGATGAGCATTGGAAAAGGCTGTAAGTACATACTTGTTTAGATTCAATAGATAATAATAAATCTTTTCGTATAATTGAAATATCCCTTTTTTCTTTCCCTTACTCAACAAAAGTTTGATTAAAAATTTTAATTTTGCTTTTCTAATGAAAATAGATAATGAAGTAATTTATCGGATCTGAAAAATGATATAAAATGAAAACAAATAAATTTTAGTAAATATGAAATGTTTTTATTGAAATAGCTTTTATTTTCTTTCTTCTTTATTTATTTAAGTAAAGAAATAAAACAATAGTTCAATTTTATAATAATTATTATATCAAATAGCAATAAATAAAACTAAAGAATATTCCAATTTTTATTGCAGTATTCGTAATTCTGCAGTAAAATATAATTAAATACAGTTAATATACAATAAATTTTAAGTTAATTTAATTGAAATAATTCACTAATTTAGTAGCAATGCTTTGGAAACATGGTGAAAATATATATTTCATCGTTCTATCCTTACTTTTCGCTAAAACTTCATTTGGCGCAATTGTACTCTCTTTGACATTCTTCTCACTCTTTCTAACCACAATTGGTGCACAAGTCTGTGGCTTTTAATTATTTAATTTATAAAAATTTGAACAAAAAAAGTTTATGATTATAGCTATTGAAAGCAAACAAATATGAGCTTAAAATATTTTGTTGAAAAAGTTTGAATATGTTGAAAAATGCTACGTAGTTGGTCTAAAATAAAATCCATTTAATAATTAATAGAATAGAAATAATTAAAACATGGCATTGAATTAATTATAAATGTGCAAATTCAATTCTTCACATTCTTCAACTTATAAATGTATGTTATTAATAAGGTTGATTAATGATGAAAGATTGTAATTGTGACTAAAATAAATGATCAAAAGTTGTAGATAGTGATAATTGAAATGATCATTATGACTGTATACAGAGCTATTATACGAGTTAAATTTATTGAACAAAGAATATCCCGTAATATCATTATTTGCATACACTTCTTGTTCATGCATTTAAGCACTTATATCCATGGTCGATTAGTAAGTCCAACAACTATTGTTTCTGCTAATTAGACGCTTATAAAATGATATTTTTAACGCCAACATTTTGATTAATCTCTTCGTTATTTAATTTCAATTCATTTTTTCTTACAGTCATTATAAATATCATAGACGTGTTTGTAAAATCAAATTTACAATGACTCATACATTCATTATCTGTAATAAGTTACTTAGTGTGTTATACCGTACTACCGTACTATGTGTTACACCGCATATACCGTACTATTGAACTGTCAAATGATTGCCTAATTCTATAATGTGCAAATAAGTACTTCAAAGTAACTTTTTTAAGCCAAATCTCAAAATTTTAACGAATTAAAATTTTCTTCATTTAAAAGAAATGTTATCAATAAAAAGTTTCTTTCATCTTAGAATAATTAATGTCAGTAGGAAATCTTATTTTATCTATGCAAAAAGTACGAGTAATAAACGAATGAAACAAACAATGAAACTTCATTTGTTAAATTCATCCATCTATCTATCAAGATTACATAGCCTCATTAATTTAATCAACTACGTTTCTCACTTTTAGGCCTTTAGTGACATAAAAGTTCGCTATTTTTATTTTGCGCTTCTTCTCCCAATTCTTGCATTTCTTGAGTTATCAACAAGCATTCATATTTATCATGTGAAAAGATTAATTGTCAATTTGCATACAATGCTTGGCGAACCACCAAATAATCTTTGGAGGTAAACAAATTCTTCAACTTTTTTTTTTTTTAAAATTAATGAATCTACCACTATAGATATGTTAATACTAAAAAATTATTTAATTACAAATCATATTTTTCTCCATGCGAAAAAACAACGAAACAAAAAAATTATTGACAGATGTTTGGGATATCCGGTGAATTGGTATTGGACCGCTTGTTGGTACATTATTACACCAGTGCTTTGCATAGTAAGACCCTATTTTTTAAACATTTTAATAATTCTCAATAAGTATGACAATAACAAACAAACGCAATACCTCTTATTTAATCTCTCCACGATACTGTCAAATAGCCATTAATTTAACTTAGCATTTCTTCAGGTTTCAGGCGGACTTGCTTTATTTATCATTATTAGTGGTAGATTATACAGGTTTGTATTAAACTGAATATTTTGTATTAAATTTGTTTGAATGATGTAAATTTCTGTACTTTTATGTACAAAAAAAACGAAACTATTTATCATTTGTAGTCCTAAATGTTCCTTTTAGTACAGCTGTAATGTACAAAATAAGTTTCTATGGCATTGTTCAGATGACCTAAGAATGATCGAAGCAAAACTAAAAATGAGTTTCCCAAAAACTACTACGTATCGTAATGTTTAAATTGTCATGTAAGTGTGACATATCAAAATCACATACAAGCATAATTCTGAAACTCTCCAATACTTTTTAATCGTTTTCCGGAATTGGATTGTAGAGACACAAACATTTTATCTTTTTGTACGCATTAAAATTCTACTGGTTCAATAAGCAAGCATATTTTTGATAATTTCAAAGAAATTCCAATTTCTTAATATCATTTTAGTGCTCTATTATTTTTTCGTTTTCAGTGATGTTATCATTTTAACTGTAACAACGCTTCTTCCATTGAGTGTTATCATTACCATCATGTCGATTCATGTTAAAAAAGCTTGTCAAACGGGGAAAACTATAAAATCTTTATTTGTTGCTGATCATCGTTGGACACCTGAATTAGGTACCAATCGGCAACAAGCGCTGTACGACGAACGAGCCACACGCACGATAACTTGATCAATTATGTATGAAAAAAAATTTCTTTGTTATTGTTATTAAATCATCTATTATAGACTCAAATGATTGCCAATATTGTTTTTAATTATCAAAATTAATAATGGAAGATAATATCAATGCATCGTTACAGTAACTATACAAATAAATTAATTAATTGCTGCAACACATGATGCATATAATCAGAGTAATTGATGTTAATTTAATTCCTTAAAAACAAGCGGAAAGACTGCTTATAATCGGAGTTTAATTTAAATTGTTCGCTTGATAGCATTCATATATATAATTTTTCTATTTTTTTTATTATATTAATAACAAAAGATAAAGGGAATGAAAATCAGAGGAATAGAAAAGTGACCAATTGATTTTTAACAAAAAAAGGAAATATTAGAAAAAATGTGAAAATTTCAATAGAAATTACTATCCACTATCAAAAGTATGAACGTCTCAAAAAGCTGAAACTTTTTGAGACGTCCATATTTCATTGAAACAAAAAATTCACCATTTGATGCAGTGATCAATATTACATTATTTCTTTTTTTATTTCTTCCAATTAATTAAAAAATGCTGCAATGCAGTTCTTAATATTTTATTAATTTATTTGACTAAACTGAGTAAAGATTTTTATACTGTTAATAATGAAGTCAAACGAAACATTTCAAAAAAGATCCCTAGAGACACTTTTCGTATGCAACAATTTCGATTTCTATTGTAAATCAGAGATTCATAAGTAAGAATGATATGATAATTCAACTGAGAGAAACTCGCGATCATCAATAGACGATAATGCCTACAAGAGCATTTGAGTGTAAAACTTTTTCAATGATCAAGAGAGATGAAAAATTACTGTGATGGTAGATGCCAAACGTGTTTCTTCGTGACAACCGGAAAAACTGAACTTAAAACCGGACATGCGATAAGAAATGCATGCTCTTGCAACCGCAAAAGCAGCGTCTTTAAGTGACACACGACTCGCATTACTGATTAGCAGAAAATGATTTTCCCGCTTAGCAATATGCGAAGAGACGACCACCTAACAAGTTTTTACACATCCGTTACCTGAAGGCAGATAAAGGTGCAGTGGTGTTAGGCGTAAAGCAGCATTTCATGATGACATAAAGTGTTTCAACAATTCAGTTAATTTCTGATAGAAATGCATTTACGAAAGCATGAAAGACAGGAAACAAGGAATGCAGTTTCCCAATCACCAATTGTCACTTTGATGACGATATGAAATAAGTTTATTGTCAGTATTTACCTGTTAGAACCTGTTATAGATGAATGAATTTTTCCTTATTTTATGCTTAGTAAACTCCTACAATTTTACTCTGTGAAATTCGTGCTCGATAATTCAAAACACTGGCTTCTTTCTGAAGTTCAAGACAACTATCTTTTTCCCTAATTCCAATATAACACGAAGCACTCGCACAAAAACTCCAGAAGTAAAACAGCCTTTATGTGCTAACACAATTGCAAATCTTATTCTCATTATAATGTATTCCGCACAATATGATGTATCATTAATCATTCTGTTTCAGCACTAATATGTATCAACAAATTTTCCTTTTCTTAAATCCTTACATCACTGTAGTAATTGGGACTTTCAACAAGTCATACATGTGCTTGACATTATGTCTATAACTTAGAAGACTTCATTCGAATTTTACTTAGCTGTCCTAGCAAAACTGCTCGAAATGAATAAAATGAAATAAATATGCAGTGAAATCACTTATTTACAGAGCAATTAAATGAAAAAAAACTATTAAATATTTACCCGAACATCGTACAGGATGTCATGCTTGCAAGTGTTGCACTTCCATACCAGTGTATTTTTTTCGAAATGCTGCAATATCATCGTTATATAGAAGTGGATTTATTTTCGCTTGACTACTGATTAACGATGCACCCGATGGCCAAACATCAGCAACCAGCTAGAAATTAGACATATTCAACAAATGTAATGAAGTTCTTGATGTTACATTATTAATAACAATAACATTCCATAAGATTTTACGAGTATTTTAAACATATAAATCAACGTAGCAAAATTTTTGCAATGAGTAACGTCTGCAGTGGTTCAACTGCCAGATACAGAGACAAGTGCATTTTGCTATTATTGCTTGATTATTTCGAGATTGCACAAAGAAAAGAATATTAAAATCTTCGAAATAAATTCTTAAAAATAAACTTTATTCAAGCATCCAGAATAATTTCTGGTAAGCATCCATTTATCGTGAATTCTGCTGCCGATTAACACAGGAGATTGCCCGGTTAACTCCGCCACCATCATATTCATTAACAAAGTCAAGCAATGCGATAATTTCGATGCTATTTCCTTAGCAGGTTTTGGCATCCATCTTTCAAAATGCAACAGGTATTCTCTTGAAAAGAACTTTATTTCACACTGTTTAATAATGTAAACTATAATAACCTAATATAATATTTATTCTAAAATGTAAAGCAAACTTAATATCTTTTTATCGATTGTAACTTACCTTTTTATTATAGCAAGATGGAACAGAATCAACGAATATCGACTGCTTGGTTTAAGCTCAATTGTTGACGTTCCTCCTTGCATCTCAAGAAAGAAGAAATATTATGTACAACCCACACGACAACAGGAAGCTATTAAAGATTGTGGCAAACACCCACAGAAAAGCCATAGGTGCAGTGATTTTCCTATTCCTTATCTCTCTTTTTTCTATTTTTTTAGACTTTAACAACGACATATCGGAGCTATCTAAAAACAATAAAAATTACAATTAATCAACGCATCGGGTCTACAAAATCTTTTTAGAAATTTTTCTCCGAAAAAACCTTGGAATCGGCAGCATAAAAACCATAAAGACGACAAGATTCTGCGCTTGCTGCATCCACTAAAAAGCGGATATCATCAGCTGTAAAAGGCACACGTTCGTCCAGAAATAAGACAAATTTGCCCGAAAATTCAGCTTGCAAAGCCTGAGTTTGACTTAAAATATCAACGTGTACCTAAAATTAGTAAAGAATAAAAAGCCTATATAAAATTATTTCTATAAAATTTCGCACAACATGAGCCTGCACATAAAGAAAGGCAATAAGTTCATACTAAAGTTAAATCGAAAGTAATAAGATTTTGTAATAAATAAGCTCACGTCGAAGTCGCTCGGCTGCAAAAATACTTTTGCTCCAAAGCTGTCAAAATTAGTTTTCATCTGACGATTTTTGGGCCACAGTATAATAATCTAAAAAATTAGCAATAAATTACTTTTATTTTAAAAAATAGGACATCTCAACATTGAGGTCCGCCTTGCCGCGTGCAGCAAAAATTGATAAAGCTCAAACTATCCCCACCGTCAGTACAAAAAGGTAATCATCTATCCTCTCTATCTGAAGCAACCTTCTTAATATCTTCCCATTCGCTTTGGTAGAATTCAAGACAAATTATATAATTACAAAAAAACCTGAAGTTGCTTCAGATATTTCAACAGTTTTTATTAATGGCTACCTACTGTATTTACTATAAAACTAACCATAAAAAAATTAGAATGAATGTTTAAAACTTTCTTTAAATAGAATCTACTGCTGAAACATAATTGAAATATTCATAATCATAAATATTTCACCTTTTGTACTTCATGCATACCGGAGAGTAAATTTACAATTCGATTCAATCTTCCGGATACTTTTATTGAAGCTCTTAGAACGACTGTATAATCATTTCCATTTGATGATGCTGATGCATGAAAATTTTCAGCAGGTAAAAACAAACGATTCCAATTTCTCGGCTCCTCGCCTCGTTGCTTTCTGATACGTTCTTCAATGATCTGTAAATAGAAAAGAGCAACTTAATTCATGATAAATCTGAGGCGAAAATTCCTACCTGCAACGAAGTAAGTGCAATTTTTTCCACACTACTAAAATATCGCTGATATAAGCCCCGTGACTGCTGCTTCATAAACAATATACGATCGACTGATATAGCGCTCAAGACATCCGAAATCTATAAATAAACTGATTTAAAAAAACAAATGGACTCGACCGATTCCTTAAGAACTTCGACATATTTGGCTTATATGACTCATAAATGCTACAGCAATGGTTTTACATTAGAATTAAGTTGTTCCTATTAAATTAACACCATTTAGAGGCTAATATGAATATGATTTTTCTAAACCACGATAGCCCGCAACCCATATGTGGTAGCATATTATTAAGACCGACCGTAAGCACAGTATCTTCATGACCGATAACCACTGCTTGACGCCAGTCAATCACTTCCGAAAAAGGTAATTCCCAGTCATCGGATAAAACAACTGGGATGCAACCTAATCGAAGTGCTTCCAGAAAACGAAATGAACCAAGACGTCGTCCACGCGGTGTAAGGCAAAATGTTGAATTAGACATGATCATTTCATAGTCCCAACTAGAAATAAAATTTGATTTTTGTCCGACTAGAGCTCTTATAAATTTGAAAATCAAACAACAGACAAGACAAAATTTTATGGTTCAAATCCAATTTTATAAGATTTTCCAACATTCTAATTAAAAATAACATGTAAGCTGACAACTTGACCAATATTTGAAAAAATCTCACGGTTGAACTTCCAAATCACTTCTTCAGAGTTCTCGTTCAATCATATTTAAGTTTGATATTGCTAATAAACTCATCACGACAAATGACTAAATTCTTAAAAGAAATGAATCTAAACTGTTTACTTTTTTAAAGCAATCATTAATTTTCTCTTAATATTTATTCAAAATTACAAGCGTAAAGCAGAACTTATTTACCCATAATAAACCGCTGCTTAACATACGTCCAGCTATTCCTTACCGATCATATTCGACATTATCCTCTTCGCAACGTCCATCCTCATATTTCTTCCAATCTGTGTTATGCTTACATGTTGTAACTATAATTACGGATTGTCCATTATGAAGATGATAAAGGGAGTCACGCGTTTCCGAACCAATCCCATAAACGTATCGTTTACCTTTGAAAGTTACCAAATACTTATCTTTTAATTTTAATGACCATTCCGCCTGAAGTTGTTAACTTGATGAGCATTCTTTATAAAATATTGACAACTTTACTTCCATACCGCATAACTTCAACCTCGTATGAACTAACGTTCATTAAAGAGACCAATCATTAGAAAGGATGATACATTAACGGTTTCATAGACTGACTCAATTTATAATCTAGGATATCGCAAATGATTTTGGAAACATTCTTCACTGAAGCGAACAGGATGTCTACAAGCTTAGCAAAAGCAACGGAACTAATGCGTCCCCAAGAGAATAGAAAAAAATTATTTATAGAATCGAAACAAACCTTTACGGTCGTTCTTAACGGATGTTCCTTATGGAACAGCGGAAAGGATAGATCAAAATTCTCTCTGAATATCTAAAATCTTCCAGAAAATATATTATATCAAAGATGAAGTTATCTTTCTCCAAAAAATACAATATAATAGAACGATCACAAGAAAAATTCCGAAAACTAACCCGAGTGTTTGCACTGGCACGAGCGATAAGAGCATAGCCTGTATCAAAACCAAGGTCATGATCCGAATAATCCGGATATGTTCCATGATAGAGATTGAATATAATATGATTGCGGCCATGGTTCCAAATTTCAGCAGGCAAATTCCCAATCAATTCATTGACATATTTTACATAATTTTCGCTAAAAATATAGGGTGGCATTTGTAGTAAAAGTGGATAATAATTTGAAAAAATTCAGAACTGTCATGGCTAAACTGAGAAAGCAGAGCTTGTGGAAGAATGATAATCAATGGGCGAAATGAGTATCCAATACCTTCGTCTATCCCTATCCACGGTATCGATGCTTAAAACAAACAAGCAAGCTCTTTGAGGATCGTCGGTATAATATATGCTTTCTCGGATAACCTAGAAAACCCTACAGGTAATGCTTACTAGACCAACAAGCAACAATTAAGTGTTTGAATATAGGAAATAAAGAAAAGCAGATAACATTTTAATCGAAAATAAATCTATTATCTGATTATAAAATTTAAACAATCATTAAAAGCAAGACTGCATATCAGATCAAATCAAAAATAATCTTTGGGAAAAGAGTTCATGAAGCTAGTTGTCTACTAAAACCGTTTAGGTTTGATTACTCAGTATCTGATGAACAACAGCTATCATTTTTTCTTAGTTATGTTCGAAGGTCAGAAATCTATGCCCGTTTTTTCTCGTTTATTCACACCATAGCAAAAAATTCATTTAGAATAAATGAATTATTTCCCAACTTAACAGAGTTATACATTCATAAGAAACACGATCACGTTAAGTGTTAGAACTCACTTTTAATATATTGCTGTATACGATGGACATCGATGAGCTATTATCTGACGGATAAACATATACACGAAATTCATCGTGCGTCAAACACCGTGATAAATCAAAGCATTGGGACATTTTGCATTCAGAAATCCTTCAGAAAAAAATATATATGCTAAATAATGACAGCAAATTATGCATAACTAAAAAGCGACACAGGACATCTTATTAATTAAGCTCTCGACACCTACAAAAAACTTAACTAAGAAAATATGCACCTAGATAAAAGCATATTTAACTTGAAAGAAATACACAAGATCTTGCTCAAAAATCTAAGCTGTAACGCATATCCACAAATGGAATAACAAAGTCCACGACTTATTTCCTAGCATCATTTATTCATTTGTCGTCTCTGTCATTAATAAAACAGTGGCTTATCTATCTTCAGTTTTGAAAAAGATGAATTATTGAAAAACAAACAGATGCAATTTTCTCTTTTAGTAAAACCGTTCAACGTGTTTGAAAAGTTTGACAAAAACTGCTAAATAGTTACGCTTAATGTTTGTTAAAATTATTGAACGAACTTGATTGGCCATTCATCGGTATAATATGGTGTCTGAATACTCAACAATTCCAACTCAGTGATATAGGATGGTACCGCGGGAAATTCCGATGTCAACTTGAGATAACACCGATAGCCAAAAAGCGATCCCAATATGAATAAAAAAAATCTCAATAACAAATAACGCCTAGTAGCTTTCATTTTTTTGATGCCAAGTATCGTTTTTAAAGGTCATTCAAAGCGTCAGCTAATCTTTGACTCACGTAACGAACTGATAATCGACATTCTGATCATCAAGCATGTCTAAAAAATAACGTTCATCATAATAACGAGAAATAAGAATTTCATTAGCAACGCAACCCTCACACCAAATACAGCGCTTCTCACGTCACCACGCTCTACGCTACAACACATATTGCTCCTAACATCGAACGAACCAGGCTGTCACGACAATTTGAATAAATATGAAAACATTGGTCACACAAATAAAAACGCTATGAAAATCACGTCTCATTCCATTTGCTACACAAGAAATTTTTCTTGAAACGATGAAACCTTCCTCCCTTCCCTCCAGAAAGTGAAAAAAACAAAATAGAAAAGGGAACCACATGACAAATTTCTTATAATTTTATTATTTAAATCTACTTGACCTTTTGTTCCCTTCGAGTTCAAATTTAAATCCAAATAAGACAAATTCAAATACATAATTCAAACGTTTTCAAAACATTAGAAATTTGAAGTATAAGTAAGTTTAGAATATGTGTTAATTCCAAATTTTAAAAAGGTTGTGATTAATTTAGAATGGAAATATTTGGAATTGCTTATTTTCATTCAAAATTCTAAGAAATTTTGGATTTATTTCTTTTTGCATATTTTAATATTTGCATTATTTTATTGCTTGGAATTCCTGATATTTTTGTTGTTATTTTTAAAGACATTATCAAAAATTCAGGAATTCCGAAATTCAGAATATATCACGCAGGTTGATATTACATGATGCAGGAATTTCTATTCATTACAAAATTGAATTAAATAACTTCGTTGTTGCTGCTTATATAGAGCTCGAGATTTTAACAAATTTCAGGTTTCATATTAAATTAGAGATGCACACTAATAAGCGTAAAAAGAAATTTGCATCGTCTTGATTGATTAGAACTGAATATTTATGACGCATTCTATAATCTCTATCAATAATATTCAGCGTGATCATATCGTTGTTTTTGGCAGTATGATACATAGTAATGTGATACCGTGGAAGTTAGATATGTTTGCTGTTTATGCTGAATTCGTGTACCGGCTTATTATCAGATACTATAGGATTAGTAAAATATCATTTCTTAAGCGATACATTTAGCCGATAAGTAAAACAAAGGCTTAATTCTAATTTTGGATGACTATGAAGCACTTAAATAAATGCTCAGCAGCTAATCGATTTCAATACAATATAGATCACAGACACATATGAAGTGTAGTAAAAGATGTTTAGGAAAATTATCAACCTCCATCTTGCAAACAATCGCCATAATCACCAATCATTTGTTAAGCGACATTGTAAAATATTTTTGAAATACAATCATCACGATGTGATAATCGGTCTGCTCAGCCAAGAGTAAATGATCTAAAAATATTACTACATTTTTACAAAACAGTTTGAAGAACTAAGGATTTTACATGCAGTAGTAGTAAGGCGTGAGAAAATTACACCGCAACATTTTAATGTCCTGACCGGGGAAACCCCTCGTCTACCATTTTGATGTATTTCCATCTTCGTGGCATATTATGTGCCCACCTGTTGTGCTTTGTTATGACAGTTGTTTATTGAAATGGTCAAGTAATTATCATTTGCATTCGGATAAAATTGACAGTAATGAATGCAATACTCAGAAGAAAGTATATTAGAATGATATCATTCATCCAATGCTATCATACTATCCATTTATTATCATATTAATCAGTAAATTATTAGAAATGTGGCATTTCAATAATTCTAGGATAAAAAATATATTCTATATTCCATTGCAAAAAACAGCAAATTTATATTCTTATTCTTTTACATTATTAATTATCTCAAATTTTATTTTTTTCCTTTATTTTGTGAATAAATAATAATAATGAATGAGTAATAGAAATAATAACGATATTAATATCAACTAATTATAGTGATAATGGTATGAATGCTGATATCACTATATGATGTAATAGTAATTCTTGCTAGTACAGCAGTTTAGAACATTTCATGAGCTTTAAGTATGAATTGAAAGATGACACTCAATATTGTTTCCATAGCGACACTGAAATTTTTCAAAAAAATTGACACAAGATGACAAACTGAAAGAAACAGGAAAAAGGAGAGAGAGAGAGAAAAAAAAATATTATTGGATGAATTTTATATAATTTGAAGCGTTCACATTGAAATACGGTTGAGAAAGAAGGATAACAAAAGAACGGTACGAAAATGAAAGAGAAGGAAAGGTTGCAGGAAAAATGACATTATTAGTGGTAATAGTTGATAGAAATGATATGATTAAGAGTGATGAAATGATAACTGGCAATAGAAGAGAAAGTGAGAAACGGTATCTGTGCTCCTATTCATGCTAGTGCAAAATGATGTTATTGATAGTGATGATGATAATGATGATAATGACGATGGTAGTACTGATGAAGGTTGCGGTGGCTGTGCTATATAGTTTGCTACGCCTGCTATATTTGATCATTTCATCATTTACATCCCTTTAAGTGATATACCATTATCATATTTGGTAAAGTAGAAAAATGATGACGATGTTGATGACAATGATAATGATGATGATGATGATGATGATAGTGATGATAATCATAATGATCATGATAATGATGATGATAATGATGAAGATGACAATGATAATGATGATAATGATGATGATGATCGTGTGTGTTTGTCCCTGTCCTTTCAACCAATCACCTCATTCATATCTTTGTAGGCGATGAATATTTCGCAAATTCACTCCTCAAATCTACGACTTGTATCAATTCATACTGTCTCCTCGATTTTATTACTTTTTCGTTTTAGCTATATATATGTTTGATTTATTTATGTAAGAACAAATTACACTAAGTACTTTCGCTTTTCATTTATTATGTAAGCGTAAAATTAATAATAATTAATTAAATCAAACTATGCATTAAAAAAACTTGAGGAATGAAATTTATTTGATCAGAAATGAATTTTTCTGATAGTGCTTATAACAAAAAATTCTTTTTGAATTTACACTGTTATTTCATTCATTAATTAACAATGCTGCAATGCACTGTATTTTATACGTCAAAATTACTGCAACTGTTTTCATTTAGAGAAGTTAAAAAAGTAGCATGTAATGATATAATAACGTTTAGCTTTGTGAAGATATAGCGTGAAAATATAATGATAATGCGTAAGGAAATAACATAAGTGCAGTGATATAATGATAATGTATAGGTTCATAGTTGCCACCATATCTTTAAAAGAAATTAGTGATAACATGCTGGAAAGCGATAAATATAAGGATATGGTACGACATACATTTTCCAATATTCATATTTAACAAAAAAATCCGTACACTTTGATAAAAATTTTCATTACTAATTACTTGGAATATTTTCAATTTTAACTCAAACGAAAGATTAATTGATCAAAATTTTTGCAAGAAAATTAATTTTCTCAGATAATATTCTTTCTCTATTGAAACATAATTATTGTTTTACGTGCAAAATCTTTCATACCACATCGTTTATCACATACATACGTGATTTCAAACAATATGACGTATATAATCTTTGTAAATTATCATTGATAATATAAAATTTATGTTGCTGATACAAAATATATGAAGGTTATTAGTGGCTGAGCAATGGTAGTGATTTTGTAAATAATATTTGTATCAAGTTATTAAATAACGAAACAATTATTGTTCGTTGAAAGAATTTACCCATTTCACGTCCTTCTTTTTTCATCTTTCACCATCCTTTTCTGATTTTTCAAGGACAATTAGTATCATATGAAATTAAAACCGTACTGCCATTATTGATTCAATGGAACCGGTTTTTTCATCTCAAAAAATTTATGAATTTATATACACTCATTAATTCAATTTTCTCCATATTTCCGTGTATACGTTCAAAAATTCACTTTTTAAAATGCAACATTTCAAGTTTTCTGGTTTACTTTTTTTACATGATAATTATTATCACAACACATTGAGGTCAATGAAAAAATCGATCTGCTGAAATTTGTCCGATAATCCAATAAATGATCTTCTTCATCAATGCTTTAATTAATTCGATGATTCTTATCAATCACAACGGATAAATTAGATGATTTATAATCAGTTATTAAAATGATTTTAGCGGGCATTAACTTGAATTATTTGAATATATCTTATATACCGTATTCGTCATCAACCACCCAACAAGTACATCATCATCAATTTTCATTGTAGACGACCTAATGCATACTGTAATAGAAGAACAAGAAAGCAGTAGTATCATTGGTGCTATTTCGAAATGATATTTTAGAAGAGTGTGACAATCGAACGGATGACAATAATTGCTTTCCTTTCTTTTCCTTCATCTTTTTTCCTTTCTTTCTTTTATTTAAAAAAGAAGAAAAAATTTTTATTTAAAAATTTTCGTGCAAAATGAATTACCACATTTTACCTCAACTAATCGTTTCGCTTTTCAAATTTCTTTCAATTTTTATAGATTTCTTGTCTTATTGACTACACTGATTGGCTTAGCGAAATGAAACCTGTTTTTGTTTGGAGTAATAGCATCTTATCAGGTAGTAGTAGTAGTAGTAGTAGTATGTTACCAATAACAGCATCAGCAATAACAACAACATCAACATCAACTGCTACTAACTGGGTATAGTAGAAGCTGAAAATATTGACAAGACAGGAATGAGAAAATGAAATATTTAAGGAAAGATGTGGAAGAATTGAAGAGGAGAAGGATAAAGAGAAGGTCAGATTATTTCATAAAATGTTGTTTAATGTAATTTTAATTTCGATAATTTTTCATTGAACAACACTAATATTAACACTGGCGTAAATCTAATTTGCATTACACTTCAAAAGTTTTAATGTCGCACAAATTTTGCCGTTTTGCTCAATTTAAGTTATAATTTTGTAGCATAGTAATAAGTCAGATGGGTTTGCGTTGAAACAAAATTTTCGTTTTCATTTTAA